AGGTTTCTTTGTAGCTTTTTCACAGTGAGTGATTTGGTTTGAGAAGATACAGGTAGAACAGATGCTGCACCCTGGTTGAAGCTACTTCACTTACTCCTCCGTGTCCTCAACATCAACAGAAACACGCAAGCTGTGATTTCACAGCTGCCATGAAGTTCTATGAAGCCTTCTTACATGGCAAAGTACAGGATCCAAATGCCAAAGGTAATCCTCATATTTTTCATGTTCAGTGGATGTACCTTGAAAATTCAACAAATTAAGCTTTTCCTCCTTGGTTTGATGATGTGATTTCATTTTAAGACTTTTGTTCGGAGACTTTATCACGTGGGCAAGGCTTCCAGAGGAACGTAGGATGCTTAAAAACATCTGCTACATGACACTGCAGGGCAAGAAATATGACCTCAGCAGAGCTATTATAGCATGGAAGCTCTAAAGGGAAGCAAGACAAGGTAGTAAGAACAGATAGAGCAGGGTATATGGGACACCCCGTGGGATCCTGCTTGGCCTCCAGCTGTCAGACAAGATTAGTGTCTCCTATAGTTCCTATGTCATATCTATGAGCTCTGTGTGGATATCTAGGAAACGGAGATAAACTCACTGGTAGGATTCAGCTCCAAACTCTGATAGCTAGACTTTGATAGCTATGTGAAGGCAGCATCTGTTGGACTCCTGAGTCTACAACTATAGAAATGTACATAATGCAAAGATACAACCAAATATCTGGTTCTACCTGATTTGTTTTCTTAGAGAGTTAAATATCAAGGGCTATGTTAAATATGTGTCCCTTTCAATATCCGGTACTTTCAGCTTTAGGCACTCTGGCTCACAGGCAAAGTCCTGGAAAAGATCCTGTGCCAATAAGCAGACAGCTAAGGAGATATCCACATCACTTAACTTTAGACATCAATTTTGAAGATGTCTTCCTTTGATCTAGTTCCTCCACTTTGCCTTTGTAGCCACAAGAGAGAAAAAAGCAATTTTAGAGTACAAGGATCAAACACATTTTTTATGTCTACTCAAGGGCCAGATGATTCATATTTTGCAAGTATCTGTTTCTTTCCACTAGAAAGTCTAGCTGACCAGATCAGAGACAGACGTTGACACTGTGGAAGTCTACATGTAGATGACTTTTCCTATGGCAACTTTGCCCCATCACTATTGTTCTGTTTCATGCAAGCTGAGAAATAATGGTCTTGAAAAGCTTGGAGGTGGCTTCTGTTGGGTAATTACCAACCAGATTTGGGGGAGGTCTTGTTCTCTCTGTCAGATTGTGTCTACATGACCAGCACTTCTGTGTCCAGAAAGAAATCATGGTATATAGTGCACATGCAGTGAAAAACAGTTAGGATTTTACCCTCTGCTTTTAGCAGTCAGGCACATGCAACCAGTTCAGAATTGCATTTAAGAGTAATGGTAGGAAGATATGGAGTATGCGGTAGTAGTTAATGATGCTCTGATGTTAAGCTCCATGAATATCTGTACTAAAGAGCTAAGTTCAGCTAAATACACATTGTACTTTGTGTATGAAAACACACCAGCAGAGCTTGAACAATGTTTTGAACCTCATGGTCTTTCACCTTCTTATGATTAAAATTGCAATTTCCCATTGGCTTTCTTTTGGGGAATTCATCCATGTAAAGTATTACTGTGTGATATGACACTGTGTGATATGACACTCTTCAGTGTCTGCAATGACTTAGGCTTCTGGATATGCCTTTTCCAATGGACTTTGTGCTTGCAGAGAAGTCTCAAGAGGCCTTTGTGTACTGGTATAATTTGTAAAAACAAATATTTGGTGTATTCATTCTCTTTCCCTTCTTGTCAATTTAGTGGCAATGCAACATGCTATAGCTCTGAGAAGAGAAGTACCAAGTTATTGGATGGAAAGCTGTATTTTGGCTTTTGACTGTGTCAAGGTACAAACTTACTGGCCTGTTGGGTCTATCACTGACCTTTTTTGGTCAAAATTGATTTAATTGGTATTGGGATCTGGGGTTATTCAGCTTTGTTATGAGGTGGAAACACAGATATCAATTGCTGCTTTCTAACCCTTTTTGTGTTTTGAGAAATTGTTTTTAACATGTATACTGCTGTAGATGACACAATAAATGTATTATCATTTTGTATAAGTCTGTTCTGATATAAAATTGCACCAAAGAGAACTTTTTGTCTGTGAAATTACAGGGTAGCGTATTTCTTCCTGAAGCAGCAGGATGGAGTTTTGGGGGGCTAAGTGGGTTATCATCCTTCCTCATGGGAAGGAGTCCCTGGATTCTGCTAAGCAAAGTCAGTCCTAGACTAACCAGACATGAAATTTTTGCCATTAGTGGGCCCTGCACACTCTTCCTTCACCATCAGTCAGTGAAGTTACATGGGGAAGGTGTTTAGCACACTGCATCTGTATCAAGCATGACCATGTGTTAATACTGCCAACACAAATGCAACACACTCTCCATTGCAACTAATAGCCTCTGTGGTGCTGAGCTTTGATCCACAGGTCTTTTGGGGCCAACATATTATTGGTTGTTGGTATACGGGTACAATCCAGGTTGTAGTGTCTGGTAGGAACGGTGGGGTTGCTAGAGCTGTTGAATTTTTATGAGGAGACTGAGCACTGAATGACTGATGGAAAGGTCCTTCCTGGTGCACTGGGACCTATCACCTTTCTTAGCCATCATTTCTCCTTCCTCTGGATCCTTGGACCAATAAAGAAGCTTCCCAGTAATAAAGAAAGAGGACATACAGTGAGATAGGTAGTCTTAAAGTGAAATGCAGGCCATCCTGGGAGCTCAGCTGGGAAGGGAGAATTGCTGCGTGACACAAGATGGCTGATACATGTACCAAATAAATGATGACGTTAGGTGGGAGAGAAAGTAAAGCACAGATTATACTGGGAGAGGGAATTTCCATAACATAAATCCTCAGGCCAGTTTATTTTCAAAAGAAGTATTCCCAGGTCAGCCAAAAGCAGAAGCATAATTCACTCCAACTTTGTTCCTCCCCAAAGGCAGATGAAGAGATATGGGTCAATTCCTTCATACAGACAACTTAGTAATGTTTACCACAACTGTTTCCTCAAGAAAACATTAAGAAGTAGTCAGAAACCTGAACTAACAGTCTTCTCTCAAAAATCAAAGCAGCAGGGTACCACAGACCTACGTCTTAGTGATGGTGTCTTGGAAGAGGAGTGGGGCATTAACTCAGGCTACAGGATCACGTAATGTAAATCTTTTCTTGGATGAAAAGGTTGAAATTGTACATATTCATTGGCTTCAAAACTGTATCCATAGTAAACACAATTGTAAGACTATCTTTTTTTTATAAAGTCTCAAATGAAATATCCAAACTGACCTAATTAAAAACTCACAACAGCTGTAATTATCACTTGCATTTTATAGATGTACATCATACAAATGTGTTCATATCACTATGCTAGGCAACAAACTTAAACAACAGGAGCAAAGGTTACTTTTACAAGGAAAAGTGATAAGGGGGTCAGAATAGACAAAATGACACCTTATAGAGGACATCTGATTCATTGGAACGGGTGTGTTAAAAGCCTAATTAATAAAGGACTGATCTGAATCATGTTTATAGAAATCTGAACAATTCATCTCTGCTTTAATAACGGAACTAGAGATGAAGCACCTAAAATCAACAAAGAAGTTTCCACCAAGTCAAATGTCTCCTGGCCTAAATAATTTAACCAAGAGTAGAGCAAAATGAGGGACTGGAGCATTACTTTTTAAAGCTAAACCAATATTGCAGTTCACAGAAAGGCAGCATGTACTTGAATGGTCATGGTCTCTAGCAATGCTTCCAAGTCTGAATGCAGGTTCTCCTGGGAATGGTCCTATCTTGAAGGGAACCATAGCTATGTCTAGTGTACCTTGTGTGCCCTTTCTTTACTTTTGGAGAGTTTGAGGTAGAGTCCAACTCAGTCCTGAAGAAAGAGGAAGGCCACCCAAAGAAGTGATGCAAGCACAACATCGGTTCGCTCTGTTTTGCTAGACTATACTTTGCTTCACTAGACCACAGTGCTCTGTTGGTAATTCTGACCTCAGAAACATGATTGAGTGGAGTGATAGTGAGCTGATAAATGATGGGCAGGACTGAGATAATCACAGCAATCACAGCAGACTAGTTCTCAAAGGGAAGTCCCCCCAAAAACACAGTTTAATTGTGTATTTCACTGATGGATCCAGCCAATCTTCAAGGTTATGGTGGCAGAAGGTCTGTTCCAAATACACAGGGACCAGCACCTGGACAGTAATTCTAGGTCTGTAAGTTATTCTGAGCTCAAGGTACCCCAGCTGGCATACTGCATTGGGTTTGCTCTAGGTTTTTCCTTAATACACACATAATCTGCCTAATGTTCAGCTACCCCGTGTTTTTCCATGGACAAGAAAGTGCTTGGGGTCCTCTGGCCTAATTTAATCTCTCTGTTCAATAGGCATGGAAGAGAAAACCCAAACAGATAACATAACTCATTCTTTTTTTGTGTCACTCTTGAGACAGCTTGAGATTCCTTTTAACGGGTGTTGCTGCTCCATAGGTAGGTGCTTATCAAGTTTCTGTGTTTAATTCCCATTAAGTTGTCTCAAGTTGTCTCAAAACAACTAGTAAACATTACTAATCATTACAGCAAACCTTCTTTACCACGTAACTGTTTGAAGATTAGGAATAGTGCTCTTGAAAACTGGAAATTTTGGGAAACACTAACAAAGACATGACAAACAAGCTGGCCCTGGGAAGAGTTAATGTAGTTCCTTTTTGGGGGGTCCTAACCTGTTGATTCACACTAGCTCAAGGTCTGGCTTTTCACAACAAAACAAGTGGATTTTATACGCCTAAGGAGAGAGAACCAGGGTTGTGGTACTGATCTGTACCAGTTGAGAAAAGCAGCTCACATTCAGGACAAGAAATTCACAGAAAGCTCTTGACGGTATGGAAAGCCATAAAGGATCCGACCTGGCCGTCTCTTAGGTAGTATGTTAAAATGCCACAGCAACTCATCCTGCTAGGAAAGCTCAGACAGAAGTTACACCATTCTGGCACACAGATGTTTTCCTTTTTGGACTGATTTTTTCAAGCAGTGATAACTGCGTGACATAGTTGACTGGACTGTTTTCTCTGGACAAAGTCCCGTGTTTGTGTATGAAGTTCAGGTATTCTTGATACTGCCATTTGCACAGTTGTTTCTTCAGTTCACTTTGAACCTATAGAAAAGCAATTTAAAAACAAAGCATCAGAAAATGAAGACTTAGTGGATATTGAAGCTAAAATATGCCAAAATATCTGCTTAACTACTTAGCCCAGATGCACAAAGGCACCCAAATAGTCAGGATTAAGCTTTAACACATTTTTAGAAGAACTTAAACTACGTCCCTCTTCACTTTTGAAAATAAACAGACTTAATTTCCAAAATTCAGAGGATGACAGGGAAGTTTTTGCCTGCAGTTTCTTTGTTTATTGTTGTAGGTCTGCTTCATAACTATTTCTACCTTTTTGTAAAATCTCTATTTTTCCTCATACTGAATCTTCTGTGCCTCCTTGCTGTGACCTGCTATGTACAATAATGGCCCTTCTCCAGGCTTTCAGTTTATCCAGTTTGAAATCCCTCTTAAAGATCCCTTACTGACTTGGAAAGATACTGAATCAACTTAAATACCTATTATATTTGAGAGAGGTCTTGGGGATCCTCATAAGCATAGGCAAAATGATTTTTTTTACCTTCTGACAGAAAACTAACAGGTAGGTTGAACAACCCTGGAGGTCCACAGCCTGCTGTTGACACTACTGGTATCTGGCTGAGGGGACGAGGGGAAAGTAGGTTCTGTTGCCCTACATAAAGCAGCTCACACTCCAAGTTGTAGCAAAGGGAGTGTAAGTAGGTGCAGGAAACACCCAGTCGTCTGTGTTCACATGAGCAATCTGCTCCTGTGGATTAATTCCTTGCTGCACCCTGCTACTTCTGTTCCTGTTCAGCTTCATCTCTATCTGCTTCTCCTGCAAGGGGGGTGGCTCTCCTGAATGCCTACAAACTGACTTACAAACGCCATCCTAAACTAAGAAGATATGTCAAATGCTTCTAACCACGCAGCTGCCATCTTCTGTAGCTGTCATTAGTGCTGAACATCTATGACGGTGTTATAGTTGTAGCACCATTTGCACAAGCCCACTCCAAATTAAATGCAGAAATAAACTGTTAAGCGAAACTATTAGTTCATACAGGGGATGTATGTATGGACAAATGCGATTTAAGTTCTCTGAACTGAGGAATTCCTCTAGTAATTCTGTTATCTAATCATCTATTAGGTATGGTCTTTACAGCAACATAGAGAAAAAGAGGGTGGGACATGCAGAAATACATCTTCGACATTAGGGCTCCCTGAAAATCACTGGCAATATTTATCATTGAGGTGGCCCCTATTCTGCCTTTATTCTCTCTGTTAACCACAGAGACATTCTAGCCCCTGTGTGCAACTTCAAGTATGGGCAGAACAAGCCTCTGGAGGTTTCAAGACTCTAATAAATGAAAGAGGGGCTTCCCCCACCAACACAGTACTCCAGTACCATCCCAGAAAGCTCAAGGTCCTTCAACACTCTTGTGTGCAATACCAGACCTCAGTTTCATCCCGTACAGATACCAGCTTGCTTGGCAACAATACAGTCCCTCACATTGTTGCAGATACTTAAAAGTAAAGAAACACACACACAGAGAAAAAAATAATAATTATTTTTTATGATTGCAGGGAACCGTAAGAGATGCACTGCCAAGTTCTAATGAGCGGCCAATCTGCTCCAGAAGCAATTATCGTTAAGCAGTACGGATGCAAGCCAACCCATACCACTTAATCTTGGTGCCAGAAATCACTCTCTGCCTGTCC